AAGGAATTGAAAAGAAGATCTATAAGAATACGTTTTTGCCACACTTTGCATCAGTTCAATGGCCATTGTGCTGCTCCTTCTGATGTGCCCAGCTTGGCCACCTGAGGGCAGTATAAGACAAAACACACACACACTATAGAGATAAAATAAACATACTTCTCTGACGACTTTCATCAGAGCTTGCGCATAGACTTCCTTGGCTGCATCTTGTTTTTTGGCCTCCTCCAGAGCGGTTTGCACAAGAGCCACCACTTCGGGATGATCCTCCGTCACTGAAGACATCGTAAGAGCATTTGAACGTTGTGCTCAGTACATTTGTTTCTCTGTTACTATCGCAAGTGAATTCAGTACATTTAAATGTGATCTTACCTTCCACAGCAGGGGTTCCATCTGGGGAGGCAAAATATCAAAAGTAATGTGAGAAATGGTAACATTACTGTACTGGACTGTACTAAACTGCAAGAAGCGGGACAACAACTTGCCAGAGCTCTGCTCGTTTTGCTGCTTGGTCCTGATTTTCTCCATGGCAGCCTGCGTGCTGTCCTCTTTGACTTTTACTAGCCACTCTTTCTCCAGCTCAGCCACCAGAGGCTCCGCCAGTTTCTCCAGCTCCAGTACGGACACGTTGTGCCTGGCGGCCATCAGTTTGGAAAGGTCAGGCCTCCCCGAAGCTTTTGTTCCAATGATGCAAACCCTACAAGGGGGGCTTGGCATCGGAGGGAGTAAGTAGCGTCTGGGGTTGGTCACAAACTTATCGTAGGCTTCTTGGGATGAAAGGATGTACATTTTGTCCCGGAAACTGTCGAAGGGTTTCAGAGGAGAGGTGGTCACAAAATAAAATTCAACTCATTTCTCAAGGCGCCACTGCTTGAAAGAAGCCTCACCCGACAGAGAATTCCGGTTTTCCGGGGACCAACAGTCCTTCCTTCAGTGCGACTGGACAACTTCGACCCCAGCGGCTCCTCCTCCAGCGGAAGCCTGGGACCAACATCCTGGAGGAGGACATAAACCTCAAAAGATCCTCCTACAAACCAGAGGGGAGGCAGCATTGGGTTTGGAGTTTTTTTTGCATTCACATATAGTGGAATATCTCCCAAGTCCGTGAAGTGGCAAGTACAGTACAATCTGGAAAGTGCTTACAGCGTTTTTTTTTTCTCTCAAAATTCTATACACGACATTCCATAATAACAACATATGAAATCATTTTTGCCAATGTATTGAAAGCAAAAAATAAGACATGACATGTACATTAAGTGGCGGCCTGGTGGTCCAGTGGTTAGCACGTCGACCTCACAGTGCAGAGGTACCGGGTTCAATTCCAGCTCCGGCCTCCCTGTGTGGAGTTTGCATGTTTGCCCAGGGCCTGCGTGGGTTTTCTCCGGGTACTCCGGTTTCCTCCCACATTCCAAAAACATGCACTGCAGGTTGATTGAACACTCTAAATTGTCCCGAGGTGTGAGTGTGAGCGCGGATGGTTGCTCGTCTATGTGTACCCTGCGATTGGCTGACAACCAGTTCAGGGTGGCCCCCATCTACTACCCGAAGACAGCCGGGATAGGCTCCAGCATGACCCGTGACCCTTGTGAGTTGAAGCGGATCAGAAAATGGGTGGATGGATGTACGTTAAGTATTCATAGCCCTTGCTCAATGCTTTGTTGATACACCTTTTGCAGTAAATAAAGCCTGTTTTAGTGTTTTTGTCTATGATAGAGCAAGCTTGGCACACCTAACTTTGGAAATAAGGCAGATCAAAATATGGAAATACTTTCCGGATATACTATACCCAATAAAAAGATCAGTTTAGCAGACACCAAATAGTTTATTTACTACTGACATTTTTTTATGCTAAATACAAACAAAACAAAATTGCCTTAGAACCTAAGAGTTTCCACTGTATTTGTTCGTTACTTGAAAAACGCTGTGCAGGACTGACCGTTTCGATGTCTTCGGGCAACTCTTCGTTCTGATGGAGGACCACTGGAACGGACACACGCTGTATGGCCATCGATCCCAGGCGGGATAACACAAACTAGAAGCAAACAGGGAAAACACATCAGTAACACCGAGCAACATGCTCTTTGTATGATGCGACTTACGAAGAGCAATTCCTCCGGTGTGTCGCTTCCGTCCACCTCTAAAAGGTAAATAGGGTTGTGGTCCATCATGTAGTCCTGAACGACAAGATGGATGCGTTATAATATAATGGAGGTCCTTTTTCTTCTACTTCTGACAGTGAAAATTTGTACCTCCAGCGGTCTGAGGATGTTATCCTTGTACGTGTTGATTCTGAGAGAAGTATTTCGGGACTGACGTTCGGGGATCCAGACCAGCTGGTCAATAGTGCACCTTTGGGGAGGTTGTTCCTCTTCCTCTTCATCCTCGTCCTGCGAGCATGAAATAGTCTGCGATTATTCACTGGAGATGCTGACATGGATTTTCCATCTGCTGAATCTGGTGGGTCACTGCCCCATTTATTTATTTTTCGATTCACTTGTGAGGTTTAACAGATACCTGCGAGTCTTCCTTATCCTCCTCCTCCACTATTTCCTCATCTATAAATCCCGTTACGTGGAACTCATTGTCCAACTTCCATTGATCTTGATTGTACAGAAGGCCTGTCATCGGGTGCTGCTTCTGACTCGACAGCCTCTTGACCAAGTCCTTGTCAGCACACTGACAAGACAGCAAACGTGAGTACATTTTTAGTTTTTTTATTATTATTTTTTGAAAACTCAAGAGAGAGGCACAGTGGTGCGACCTAACCTTGATGTTGATGATAAAGTCCGGCTTGAGTTTGAGCTTCCTGATCATTTCCATTTGCTCATCGACGCTAACGCCTTCTTCCGACATGAACGGCAGGCAGCTCAACACGTAGCCTGCGATGTGTGATTTCAACATCGGAGTGGTAAGATGTGCTGTGAAATCAAGCTAACAAAGCCTTACCGTAATGCTCAACTTTGGTTGAATTCAGCATGTCGAGTATGAGCCGGAGGACCACATCTTCTGGGATACTTGCGCCCGCATTTAGGATATCCAGCAGCTGTAAAATGATTGGCTTTAGTGCAGGTGTAGGGAACGACATGACACACGGCCCATCAGGCACTACCAAAAACAAATTAAATTTTAGAGGATCTGTCGGTTAAAAAGATTGTAAATAGCATTACCTTAATGCCATCCTCTGTTTTATTTCTGATGTGGGAGTCGAGCACCTCCGTGTCTGCAATTGGGAAGCAGTTTGAATGAATTGATAGGTGACGTTTGTAAACGGTAGAGAGAGATTATGCTTACCATCAATTAAAACACACCCCCAGGTCTCTGCAATGTTTTTAGCCAGGGTGGATTTGCCAACACCCTGCAACAACGGACGTCAGAAGTTATTGTTATTGCCACTTTTCATGGGAAGTGAGTGAAGCATTGGAGTTAAACATGCCAGATTTGTTATTATTGATCCTTTCCGGACTGAAATACAGGAGCTATTTTTGAAGTTGTCTTGAATGATTGATTGACAGATTGATTCAATCAGATTCAGTCATAAAAAAAGTAAATCTAGAATTTTACAGTCAAACAAAGGCAATCGAAAAGGCGTAGGGTGAAGCCGCTGCTCATCAAGCATATTCGCCTACTTTACAAGACAAACAGATTTCAACTAAGAAAATTTTCAAAGCCCCAACACGAATTTCATCACCTTACCCATATCAGTTATCCGAGTGACTTTGCACCCATTTTTGGCCAAACTCTCTTATACCATATACCAGATTTTTTTCAGTAGTATACTATGATCAAGAGCAGGGGTGTCAAACTAATTTTTTGTCGCAAGCCACTTCGGAGTTACGGCTTCCCTTGGAGGGCCGATGCTAAATCTCAACGTTCTTTATTTCCCATGAAAATTTGATATTTTGGTACAGATTTCAGTAAGGATCATGAAAGTTGACACACATGATTTGCTCCCGCGGGCCACATAAAATGACGTGGTGGGCCAGATCTGGCCCCCGTGCCTTGACTTTGACACAGTGATCAAGAGTGTCAAATTCTTTTTTCAAATGGCTTCAACTGTACAAGTGTACCTCAATGTCTGCTGTGTATGTGTGGCATCATTTACCGGTCTTCCAACTACAAGGAAGCAGGTCGGTTTGGAAAGTAGACGCTGTCTCTCGGCGTCCTCTTCGATGAGATTGTCCACTAGATCCATGCCTGTTTTATTGCCTAAAATTAAGCACAAATATGGCTAATTGCGGCAAATAGAGAGAAATATAAGGCGGACCCCCGTTAGAAATCGTCAATCATAACATTGATATTTTATCTTGAACATCAATGACGAGATGTGCGGATCTTAACCGGTCTGATGCTGCAAAGGGATACGCACTCGGTGGCGAGGTCTAGCCGGTTTGCATAGTACACAAACGGGATTAATATTAAAAAGATAACTTCCTCCATATCAAATCCACATTACAAACTTGGTATATTGAAACAAACTAGCTGTATTTACAAAAAAATGTGATAGAATGCTATTTAAACCCATTTTCACGTTTCAATAAAATGCATATTTGGGGTAGCTAGTTGAGATTGCAGGTGAACCAGTCATCTCGAGTTCTTGATTACTGATGGACAATTAAGTTTTAACCAATATTTACCCAAAATTAATTTACCTTTACTTGAGAATTTTGAGAAGAAAAGAAATCCTCCACTTCACGTAAAATAATTTAAACTCGCATCGCTGCTTGTTTCGAGCAGACACTATCGTCACCGTTGCAACTTTATATCAGCACTACCCGTTGACAGTGGCGTTTGGTACCATAGCAACTATCAACAAATGTTATCGGGTAATGTGTTTTAATTAGAGGAGGAGGCTAAATAAAATGACATAAAATAGAAGATTTCATGGTTTGGATAAAGTATTCCTACTTCATTTTGTCATTAATACGTATAGGATATGGATATACGAATAATTTTAAGCAACAAAAAAAAACTGTTCTTTTTGGTCTTCGACGGGTGCTGTACTGACGTCATCCGGGTTCATGACTGTCACCTGACTAAAACAATTCGCATCGCGTGCTTGCGGTTGTTAGCCAAATACACTAATATACCTAATGTTAGAATTGCTTCTTAATGCGTTTTATTTGAATATTTTAAGCGTTTACGTCTGCTACCTTTGGGGAAATGGAAAGTGGCGCCGTCTGTTAAACATAAGTGGCTGTCGCTCGACTAATTTTAAAGGTGAGTCAATTAGCTACACAAACAAAAGCATTTAAATTTCGAACTTCAGGACAGGCAGCCTTTGAATTACATTTGTTTTTGTCCCATTGTCCTTTTGCAGTTCTTCTGGATCAAACAATCTGAGCAAACATGCCTCATTCTGCAGCTGTCATCAGTGGGCTCCAGAGGATGGTTCTATACGAGACGAGAGCCGTAAGTCGATCATACATGTCATAATTTATCACTTCAAATCCACTAATATCACAAAACTCGCAAATGTAAAAAATGACTTGTTTATCTTAAGTAAGACATGATTACCTAACTAATGAATCGGTCCCACAATGGGAAAATTTGCAAATATGACCTTATTTTCTCCAGTTTTGAGTCATTAACATGAAGTAAATGAAGCTGTGTAAACTTTGAGAAGAACAAAAGATAACCTCTTTGAGAACGTAAATACTGTACGGACTGGAACCGGCGATAGTTGGAGGGCAACTGCAGGATTGGTCGTGGACGTTAGATGGCAGCAAAGGCTTGTGTGACAGGTTTTGCTCATGTTGAAAGTTCTAACTTCAACTTTTATCCCCAGTGTAAGTAAACCATTCTTTTTAGTTATACATTGTGAATGTCCGCTTTACAGATGCCACGGTCTGCCGATCAAGCCGTGTGTGTTGCTTTTCCTAAAGGCAGGAAGACAGTTTTACCCAACTGCCAGCTGTCTATTCATGAGGACTCTGGCCTTTATTGATACCTGTGCAGTTTCATGATAATTTTGCATACAGCAATCCTTCACAAATAGGTTGCTTAACATCACAGTCTTTGGTTTGAAGCCTTTGAACAATCCAAGGTCGGAATGGGTCTAGCTTTATCACTCTCTGGAGCATCTGCTGAATGGAGCTTTTGTCAATTTCAAGGTTCCAATGCAGCCCTCCGGATAGACTCTCACTGATTTCACTCAAACACCTGCTTTAAGAGTTTTGTGCCATGTGACATGACTAAACGCAATATCTTCTCCAACCACCCCCCACCCCTTTGCAGAGGTATTTTTTGGTGGGGAGCAATCAGGCTCAGACCAAAAACAGAGTGCTGAAGATTGACCGCACAGAACCCAAGGATTTGGTCATCATTGATGATAAGGTGAGCGAGCATTAGTGCAGTGCTAATGATACAATAGTGGAGTTGCCTGGGTCGTTTATTGTCAAATTGTCCCGTCTTCTTAAATGCATTTGTTGCAGTCTGGCTGGCGAATTGTGAGCCCACCACAGCCATTTATGAGCTGCTGGGAATGAATTTGTTCATAACAATGCAGGGTCGTTATTATGATGATGATGATTGTTATTATGAAGCATCTTCCAGTAAGTATCCATCATCACATGCTACCATTCTTGCCATTATTATTGTGCGTATAGTAGCATAATGTAATTGACAAACAGTTCCACCCAGATGTGCCAGTCTGCACTCTAGCTGTCAAATCAAACTTTTTTTTTTTTCGTTGCCACATACATGTATTCCAACGTGGTGTTTTTGTCTTGCAGCACGTATACAACCAGCAAGAGGTGCGCGAGTTGCTCAGTCGTCTGGACTTGGGAAACCGCACAAAGATTGCCCAAAAGGGTCCGTCAGGCCTGTCGAGAGCCGTGTCAGCCGATGGCATCGTGGGTACGTGCGCCCCATACACTCTCTGGTCACGCTCTTGCGCAACAACGGCATCAACAACCATTGTGGGCGACACAGATGGCAACGTGCTTGATACCACAAAGGTCTAGTTTTCCAGCTGCAGGTGCTGGCCTGCTTTTGCAAATGACTCGCAGGAAGTGGGAAAGCACAATAAAAGACCCACCTGGCAGTTGAATGTGATTCATTTCAATCAAGCGCTCTCTATTTTCAGGTTTCACATAATCACCATCTGTAATGTGCGCGCAAGCAGCTTTTTTTGTGTGTTTATTGCCCACAATTTTGAAAGAAAGAACACAATATATTTTTATTTTTGTCTGTGTTGCGCAGTTTCAAATTGGGCTAAAGCTGTTCACTCATTGTGCCACTTTTTTTTTTTCCAGACCGATACCAGTACGAATATTCACTTTTTTGAGTACTCACCGATACTGAGAACTGATACCCTCTAGTACTTTTGATGCTTACAATTTCATTCAACATGAAGTCCCCCCCCCCCCCATAAAATTTCTTTCTGACGCAGAAGGTGAGTTGCCAATGTGTCAAACTATCGCACTATGGCACCAACTACTCCTGAGGAGGACTTACTCGATATTTATTATTTTTTTTTGCCTTAAGTATCAGCAGCCTCCAGGAGTACCTGTTTTAAGTAAAAGTCTGGTATTGGCCTGATACAAATATATGTATATTTTTTAAACTTTTTTTGTGTGTGGGTGGTGTCCTGTGAGATATTTACGTTAAATTTATCCCTTGGTTCTAAAGATATGAAACACTGCTATAGAGAGTTTTTTTTTCCCCAAGTTTTGGAAATCAGGTCACTAGCACATTTTATATGTCAGGCCCCGAACGGGAGTGACTTGAGTGACATCTCATCAACCTTTCCAATCGTTCTAGAAATGTCACTTTTAATACAGGCGGTGGGACTACCTGCGTAAATGTCGTAGCCATATTGTGTGAGTACTTTCTCATCGTGACATACATTTCGTGAACGTACGCGTTTGTGTCCGCCACAAGATGATAGGTTCCATACGAGACGAATTTTTTTTTTTTTGTGATAATTGTGTCCATCCGGGACGATTCTTGCGTACATGTTTCTATGAAATGCTATTTCCTTGAAATTTAATGGGAAGAAGAGTGCATTTTTTTTTTTATTAGGGCGAACATCTGCTCAATTTCAGACAATGTTTCAGAATCTTAACTGAATTTAGTCATACCCAATCTAAAAAAAAAAAAAAAAAAAAAAAAGGTCCGCATGAAAGGATGTTACCACATCCTTTCTAACTCAAATATTTTTTCATCAGTATTCTTTGAATGTCAACTGAAACCATTCAGCGTGACGTGTTTTCCACAAGTTAATGGTAACAGAAACCCTCTGTTTGTCTCGTATTTATCTTGCATTTATTTTTACTTCTATTAACCTTTTTAAATAGTTCCTGAACTCTGATGAAACCCTTCCCGCATGAGAGGCCAAACGTCTTTTAGGACAACCAGAGCGGTTCCGTTGCAATCGATTCGGTGCCCTGAGAAATTTCTCAAACTCAATTATAGCTTTGAAACAAGAACATCTCACAACACACCACCAAACAAAAAAAAAGTCACAAAAAGTAAATACCGAATCTCAGTTTCTTCACGAATTTACTTCCTGTGAATTGTTGGCTTATTAAATTGAAATATGATGCTCTCATTCTCTCGGATGAATGGCAACAGGTAAAAACACCAAGTTAATTATACCTGCATCGAGTGGAAGTGCATGAATTTGTTCTGCATGCCGCTACATATTGCTGGCATTGATAGATGAACATACTGTAGATCCATGATTTGGAGTAAATAAATCATTTTCGTGAAATAGGCTGATTTCAGCACAGTCGCTGCTGTCGACGGCAGAGACGAAATGAGTTCAGCTCCTTGTCATGCCGTATATTGTTCATGCACTTGTGTCCTTTGTGACCCGTTACACACAGACAGACTCTTTCTGACATTTGCTCAAATACATGATGATGTTCGCGCCCCCGACTGTCTGTGCCCCGGTGGCTTTCTATGTCTCAAGCTGCTCTCTGACAAAAAGTCAGTGGGTCGCACAGTGTATCCTGACATCCCCCCCCACCCCCACCCCCACCCTGGTTTGGGCTGCCACACTTGTTATTTATACCCATTTTTTATCAGTCTAATTGCCAAGTGTCATTTTTGTGCAACCGTTCTGTTTGGTGTTCTTTGACAGGCTTTGTACGCTTCCTGGAAGGCTACTACATAGTGTTGATCACCAAACGCAGAAAAATGGCCGACATCGGGGGCCACTCCATTTACAAGATCGAGGACACGACCATGATCTACATTCCTAATGACTCGGTCCGGGTGGCGCACCCCGACGAAGCCAGGTACGTCCGTGTGGCTTGGTCTTAAGGACCAATTTGACTTCATGTGTGTCGTTTGTACCTGATGGAGCTTTCAACTCTTCCCCAGATATGTCCGAATCTTTCAAAACATGGACTTATCCAGTAACTTTTACTTCAGGTAAATTTTTTTTGTTGTTGTTTCACACTTATCTTTTTCTTCAGTGAATTCAGAGATTAGATTCCAAATACAGTGTCCACGTTTGAAGATCATTGCTGAAAGCGTGCCAAGATTGAAAACTTGTAGTACTTAATTGTCGATACATAGCTTTAAACTGTTTTTCACTCTTTTGGTTTTCCTGGTCAGAAAAAGAAGTTGGATTTTACAACCAGCATGTCGACCAGGGCTTTGGACTGGCTTTAGAGTGCCTCGTTGTTGGCCGTGAGTGCGTGCACACCGTGAAGAGTAGGCGGAAGTGCGAGGATAGGGAAAAAAAAAAGTTGAATGTGACAGCCAGAGTGTAGACAAGGGGCTTCGTGCTGGCGTGGTTGCTTTAGAGCGCCTCGTTGACATGCCATGGAAAAGTCCACCGAACAACAGGGTATATTTCAGCCACCGGAGGCTTTAGGCGGACATATTTTCGCGGCTCGTACAAATGAGTAGGTATAAGAAATACGCCAGACAAAATAGCATCCATTTGTAGTTGTGGTACATGTATTTAATTGGCAGTTGAGGTTGATTGGCATTTAGTTTCAACACATTCTTCGGACATGCCCACGGTGCTTGATTTATTTATTTTTTTCTCAAGATTACGCTATAACGCCTCATTTTCTTGCAATTCTTATTATATTTTTTTATCAATCAAATTTGACACAGTTATTATCAACAGGCTTCTCTCTGGTGTGTGAAATTTAGAAGATATTGTTTTTCACTGTACAGGGACTTTAACCCTCCTCTGATGTTGCTGATAACATTGGCTTAAGTTTTGACTTCAAATCTTAAGAAACAATGGTTGGCTGCGTCTAAAACGTACATTTTGTTGTTGCTGTTTTCCACTCTTGTCCTCTCATGGTGGGAGACAAATTGACCTGGTTTTAAATTTAAGTCTCGAGGAACAAAAATAGCAAGTGACTGTTTTGGTTCTGCTCTCTTCCAAGTCAAATTGACCCATATTAAAGTTTTAAAAACATTGACGCATTAGTATTTGTGTAGGGTTTTGTTTTTTGTTTTTTTTGCAGCAGCATGTCACATTAACCCACAAACATTTCTGATGGACCACAGAAACAAACAGGATAATTAAATAGCATTTATAGCTTAATGTCTTGTCCAATTTGATGGGATTTCATTTTTAAAATGTTCATATTTATTTTAACTACCCCACAGCTACAGTTATGACCTGAGCCACTCGCTGCAGCACAATCTGACGCTGCTGCAGAGGCCTTACGAGCTGTGGTCCTCGGCATCCTCCAATGCCGAGGACGAAGCAAACAAGCGGAACAAACAGGAGAGCTTTGACATCTTTGAAGACGAAGGGTTGCCCACTCAAGGTAAATAAGGTCCGGAATGCCCCTATGCCCCTCTGTTTGTGTTTTGTTTCCATCCGTCTGTGTTCCTCTCCTCTGCCACAGTGGTTTACGGCGTGCGCGCTGAACCGTACTACAAGTACGTGTGGAACGGGAACTTGCTGGAGCGTGTCAAAGATATCATACATCCCGACTGGCTCTTGTATATAATCCATGGCTTTTGTGGCCAGTCCAGTATCCTTTCAGCTGTGTGGTGTCTGCCAAATCCAGCAGAAAATATCGTTTATGTGTGGAACCCACCTAGTTGGGCACATTACTGCCACCTACAGGACTGGAGTGGGACAGTATCACGGGGGAGGTCGTAACTTGTCAATAAAGTATCTGTCTGTTTGGGGTATGAGCTATCTATCTAGCATTCTAGCTAGGCTCATACCTAGATGGTGAGCTCACCTCCTACCTAGGTAGCGAGCTAGCCTCCTAGCTAGATAGCTAGCTAACTCGATCTTACTAGATATCGGTCCGTTCATTGATGCTATATGTCTCCTTTCTATATCTAATGTCCATAAGTGTCTCACATCTGTCAATTTTGACTCCTTCACCCGTCCAATCGCAGAGCTTTTAATTTACGGCCGCCCGGTGCACATCACCCTCATCGCCAGGCGCTCCAGCAAATTTGCCGGCACCCGCTTCCTGAAACGAGGAGCCAACTGCGAGGTAGAAACCAGTTGCGGGGGCAACCAAGGAAAATTAGGCACAAGGCCCAGGTCCAACAGCTTGATTGGAATGACTCATGTTGTTGATGGTGGGGGGGATTTATTTGATCTGTGGGCTCTTCCTCGACTATGCATGAGTGTCACAGTGCGTAGGAGGAGGGAGCAACTGCTTTTATGTTGCTTCTTTTCAATTGCAAACACATTATGTTGCTTATTCGTGATTTAATTGTAGTTCTTCAAAGTCCTTGAAATCTTAGCAATGCTTCAACTGTAGGGTTTTTTTTTTGCCAAATTTTTCACTTTGAAAGGGTTAACCTGGGTAAAAAATAAAAAAATACTTTCACGTGGTGTCGACCTGGGCAGCGGCAGTGGAATAATTAATCCTGTTTAGTGCTTCTTCCTGAGGCTTTTCCCTCACAATGTGTGGCCTTTTTGAGGTAGTGGGGCTTGTTCACTTTCTATGGAATCTTCTATTTTCACCCTGCACCTTTTACAGGGCTTATCAGTGATGTTGATCATGATCCCCTTCGTGTCATGTGACATGTTTGAGTCCACTTTCTCTTTCATTCTAACATGGAAAGTTAAGCCACGGTCCAAGCAGTATGCCAGTTCAGGTCATTGAAGATGCAACGTTTCAGTCCACGGTATAAGCAGCCGATCACCCAATGTCAGCCGAGGACAAGTGTGAATGAAAACGAATGAATGAAAAAGATGTCACAGTCTAACAATGAAGATTTGGCGGCCAACTGTGTGCTCTTTGTGTGTCGTGCTCACGCAGGGGGACGTGGCAAATGAGGTGGAGACGGAGCAGATTGCCCACGACGCCTCCGTGATGTCGTTCTCGGTGGGCAGTTATTCCTCATACGTTTGTGTTTTGTTTCCATCCGTCTGTGTTCCTCTCCTCTGCCACAGTGGTTTACGGCGTGCGCGCTGAACCGTACTACAAGTACGTGTGGAACGGGAACTTGCTGGAGCGTGTCAAAGATATCATACATCCCGACTGGCTCTTGTATATAATCCATGGCTTTTGTGGCCAGTCCAGTATCCTTTCAGCTGTGTGGTGTCTGCCAAATCCAGCAGAAAATATCGTTTATGTGTGGAACCCACCTAGTTGGGCACATTACTGCCACCTACAGGACTGGAGTGGGACAGTATCACGGGGGAGGTCGTAACTTGTCAATAAAGTATCTGTCTGTTTGGGGTATGAGCTATCTATCTAGCATTCTAGCTAGGCTCATACCTAGATGGTGAGCTCACCTCCTACCTAGGTAGCGAGCTAGCCTCCTAGCTAGATAGCTAGCTAACTCGATCTTACTAGATATCGGTCCGTTCATTGATGCTATATGTCTCCTTTCTATATCTAATGTCCATAAGTGTCTCACATCTGTCAATTTTGACTCCTTCACCCGTCCAATCGCAGAGCTTTTAATTTACGGCCGCCCGGTGCACATCACCCTCATCGCCAGGCGCTCCAGCAAATTTGCCGGCACCCGCTTCCTGAAACGAGGAGCCAACTGCGAGGTAGAAACCAGTTGCGGGGGCAACCAAGGAAAATTAGGCACAAGGCCCAGGTCCAACAGCTTGATTGGAATGACTCATGTTGTTGATGGTGGGGGGGATTTATTTGATCTGTGGGCTCTTCCTCGACTATGCATGAGTGTCACAGTGCGTAGGAGGAGGGAGCAACTGCTTTTATGTTGCTTCTTTTCAATTGCAAACACATTATGTTGCTTATTCGTGATTTAATTGTAGTTCTTCAAAGTCCTTGAAATCTTAGCAATGCTTCAACTGTAGGGTTTTTTTTTTGCCAAATTTTTCACTTTGAAAGGGTTAACCTGGGTAAAAAATAAAAAAATACTTTCACGTGGTGTCGACCTGGGCAGCGGCAGTGGAATAATTAATCCTGTTTAGTGCTTCTTCCTGAGGCTTTTCCCTCACAATGTGTGGCCTTTTTGAGGTAGTGGGGCTTGTTCACTTTCTATGGAATCTTCTATTTTCACCCTGCACCTTTTACAGGGCTTATCAGTGATGTTGATCATGATCCCCTTCGTGTCATGTGACATGTTTGAGTCCACTTTCTCTTTCATTCTAACATGGAAAGTTAAGCCACGGTCCAAGCAGTATGCCAGTTCAGGTCATTGAAGATGCAACGTTTCAGTCCACGGTATAAGCAGCCGATCACCCAATGTCAGCCGAGGACAAGTGTGAATGAAAACGAATGAATGAAAAAGATGTCACAGTCTAACAATGAAGATTTGGCGGCCAACTGTGTGCTCTTTGTGTGTCGTGCTCACGCAGGGGGACGTGGCAAATGAGGTGGAGACGGAGCAGATTGCCCACGACGCCTCCGTGATGTCGTTCTCGGTGGGCAGTTATTCCTCATACGTGCAAACGCGAGGTTCAGTCCCGCTCTACTGGTCCCAGGACATTTCCACCATGATGCCAAAACCCCCAATACGATGTAAGCCTTTGTCTCTTTGATTTTTGTTTCAAGGCTGAATATTGACGAAACTCGACAAAGCATTAGGTACGCTATTGGATCTCAACCCTCAACCGGTTGCCAACCAATCGCAGGGCACACATAGACGAACAACCATCCACGCTCACATTCACACCTAAGGACAATGTAGAGTTTTCCATTGACCTGCCGTGCATGATTTTGGAATGTGGGAGGAAACCGGAGTACCCGGAGAAAACCCACGCAGGCACGGGGAGAACATGCAAACACCCACGCAGGGAGGCCGGAGCCGGAATCGAACTCTCCACCGCTGAACTGTGAGGCCAAAGTGCTAAGCAGTCGACCAACGGGCCGCCCCGGGGGAGCACTCAAGTACCAAATTATTTTTATATTACATTCGCAAGAGGGTTCATATGTAAGTCGTACTCAACATTTGCCAGATTGTGATAAGTGGATGTGCAACAATTTCTTTTTTTTTTGTCCTTTTGCGTTTTTTGACCAAAGAATGTGAAAAACATTTTTATCAACACACCAGGGAAGTAATGCAGTGGCATCTGGTCAGCAAACAACCGCAGAGGGAAAATATATTAAAGCAAGAGAATAGCCTTTGCCAGGGACCTTTTTCCTCAACGGCAAGCCTCTTGGCAGGACATCCTCATCTTGTATCCATTGTGACACAAAAGCAGGGTCGCATTCATCCTGAGGTGACTTTTGTGCAAACGCCCCTCCTGAAAAAAGAAAAAAAAAATAGATTTACCTCATCATGCTGAGCCGACTTCGCTCCCTGACATCACTTTCAGTGTGACCATGTGCGCTTTGTCCTTTCTTGGCCTCCAAATGTCAGAGTTAATACAGTTACCTTCTATTATGAAGTACTCCTTATGTAATCCCAAGAGTGGAACCGCCAAATTAACACGCCCCCCCCCCCCAAAAAAATCTCTTACAACTTGGAAATTGAATGAACTTTTTTGGTGGGGGGCGGGGTGAAAAATGCGCCTCTCAAGTCCTTTTGTGAATAAAGTTGGAAGTTTATATAATCTCACAATACTGCTCTTTGTATCTCAAGATGAAGCGTCACTTGGGTCCACAGGCTCGCAAACATCCGCGAGCGTCACAACAAAATATCCATCATGAGAAAGAATTGCGTCAATGTTAATCTTGTCTCTCAACCGCTTTTGTTGCCTTTTTAATCTCCCGTTATCATTTCCCGGTTGCGCACCGGTTGGCGCGGCGCTCCGTTGAGCAGCCATGACAAAGGGCAGACAGACGATCCAATCGTCTTCAATAAATGGGGAATATGATTTGGGTCAAATGATATGAAATGGCGCCGATTTGCATCATCTGGGTCAGTGATGTTTGTAACGGACGTGACCATCTGATACGGTGTGAGCCACGCCGTTCCTCTCGCCAACAACTTCCGGGACACTGTGTTGCATAAGGAAGGTTATTTATAACTTGTGATGACTTGCTCCCAGCCGTGGGGGGGCAAAGTTAATTGAAAATACACCTCGGGCGTGTAATTTTAAAAAAACGATTGTTAGGTTTCACTTAATGACAAAGTTAATTGAAAATACACCTCGGGCGTGTAATTTAAAAAAAAACGTTTGTTAGGTTTCACTTAATGATACATCAAGAGAATAACTGAGAAGCTGAGATGTGAAATGACTACACCCCTAACGTCGCTAAAGTTGGTGGGAGTCATTGCAAAATTGGCATTTCGTCAACGTTTGAGCACGTTTGCAGCAACAGGCTTCGTTCGGACTCAGATGTTGGAATGTTAAATAAAATAATAATGATCATAATAATACCCAACAAATATGGTTTATGAAATTGTCGGTGTGCAGAGAGTGTTATCAGGCCAAATCCTCTTGGCCCCTCTTCCCTCCACTGTGCAGGAAATAAGAACGTTGCTAAACATGAGCACCATTTTTGCCCATCATTTTTGGTATCGGGCTCAATTTTTCAAGCCCGACTGAGTATCTTAAGATGAATTTAGCATCGCAGGTTGAAAAGAAGAGCTAGTCTTCATTTTTCTCTCTTGATTCTCTCTGGCAGTGGACCAAGCAGACCCATATGCGCACGTCGCCGGCCTTCATTTCGACCAGATGCTGCAGCGATTTGGATCGCCCATCATCATCCTTAACCTGGTCAAGGTAGGCCAATAAGCACATACTGCAAAAAAAACAGATGGGCCAGCGATCCCAGCTCTGCTGTTTGAATGCCCGTTTCCAAAGCTGACATTTTGATTTGTCTGAATTCCGTGAGGGGACGTGTGAGGATAAAAGTTTACAGCGGTGAATATCATCCTGGTGTGAACAAAACAACGCATGTTCACATTTTAGGCTTGTTGGGACTCACTTTCAAGTTGTACGTCTTCAAAAGCTTTCAAATACAAGAATTGAGTGCAAGTTTTGCCCCCAAAGGCACACAATGATGCACCCAGGCTCAAGGATGCAATGGATGTAAAAAGTCTACACACCCCTGTTCAAATGCCGTATCTTTATTATATTAAAAAATGAGGGAAACATCCATCCATCCATTTCCGATCCGCTTTATCTTCACAAGGGTCGCGCTCACACTCGCACCAAAGTACAATTCTGAGTGTTCAATCAGCCTGCTGGAACACCCGGAGAAAACCCACGCAGGCCCGGGGAGAACATGCAAACTCCACACTGAAAGTCCGGAGCCGGGATCGAACCCACGACCTCTGCACCGTGAGGTCGACACGCTAACCACTGGCCCACCGGGCCGCCCCTGAGGGCAACATAAACACCATTAATGTGAGCCGTAACCCGTACACCCACGTTTTCGAGAGGGGACGTAAAAATAAGCTGAGATTATGTTTTTGCGTAAGTGTGCACACCCGCTTATAACGGTGGTTGTGACCGTGCTCACATTTAACCAATTCCATTCAAACTGTAAAAAAAATGTTTTTTTTTTTCAAAAAGTGAAACCAGAGGAATATGTCATAGATTCAAAGAAATATTTCAATATTTTATTTTTGTGATTATAGCTTGCCGTTATTTTTGTTAGAGTTGTTTAATAATGAAAATTAAATCCTGTTTGTAATCAATGCATTAGTCATTGTTTACAATAAATGATATTATTTAATATTGGCACGGTGGACAGGTTGTTCGAACTTTTGACTCTCAGGTGTGAGTCTGGGGGTTTGAATCCAGCTTTTGGCCTTTCCGTGTGGAATTTGCCCCCACAGGCTTGTGTGGATTTTGTGGGCACCATCTAAATTCAAGAGACAAATTGCGAAATTAATGCAGCGGCGTGACTCCTAACAATATAAGAGCTTAAAGAACGGATTACTTTTCCCCACCTTTTTCTCCAATGTATTTAAACTTGGTCGAGCACGATGAACCTGTCGTTAGTAATCGACCAGTACTCGGAACAACGGAAAGTGCGAGGTGACTCGGCGAAGAGCTCATCGGGAGAGCTGCAAATTTCGCTCCAGTTGTTAAGTCCTCCATTTAGAATAGACTGAAATGAAACATACCATTTCTCTGCACCTAATGCAAAAAAATCCCACCTGAAATTGGCTCGGATAAATGCACCACGGGCTTTCTTTGTCACATTGGCCTCACGCGGCAATCTCTCATTTGTCTTGCGCTGCATTGCCTCGCACAATGGGGAGCGCACGCATCTCTGCCGCACACTCTCTCCGGCTTGGGTTTCAGGCTCACGTTGTTTCTGGTGAGGGGAACCGTGAGCGCGCGAGGGGAACCAATCACTGGCCTTTGAGATCCACACAAGCTGTGGCCATGTGATCGTTCTTTTTTTTTTTTTTTTTTTTTTTTTTTTTGTTAACTCTGCACATTAATAGTAGTGGACCCTGTACCCGTAAACAACGCCGCGGCGCCTTACACCCAACGGACAGGTGGACAGTTAGACAGATGAAATAATAGGCAATTATCGGTAAATAGATGACGGCTCATCTGGCGGAGGCTCATCCTATGTGGCTGCCTCATTTCCAAGATGGTCCTGTGGTGGCTTCCGAGGAAGGGGAAATGTGCACATGGCCCGACATGTGCGTCCCTTTTACTTTACCAGCTGATTTAATGAGCAGTTAATGATGGATTTTATTTCGTCCCTTCCCTCGAACATGTGTGAGTGACATCAGCACAAAACGACAAGTGGCTTGCTCCGCGATATGGCTTTCAAATGAAATGTTCCAAAAAAAAAATCCTCTTGCTTGTAGGAAATGACAGTGACATCATTCCAATTATTTCTCCTGATACCAAACAAGTTTTTAAATTGTTTTTTTTTTTTCCCTCACATTACATTGTGCCAACATGCACAGAAAAAAAATTGTTGCAGATGTGAAAGGATTCTTCAGTCCTAAATTTTAGTGGGAGTCCTTCTATTTCTCTCTGTGGTCAGTGTGTCCCCTGGGATAGGTCACATGACCCTTGTCGTTGCTAAATGAGCTTTTTTTTGCATACCTGGTGACAAAATAGCTGATTAGTGGCCACTCTTGCCATAGACCGAGGACCTCTCTCCCCCCGAAGATTGCTTTGACTCAGAAAAAAGGGACACGTTGCGAAGTTGTCTTTTCGCAGCCATGTCGTTTATGGGAGCAGCGCACATCAGCAGGGATGCACTTGAAACAACAAAAGTCGATTCAAAATGAAATCCATACAGCATCCTGACTTTTAGTTTGAATGAATCGATAGAAAAAAATCGATCACCCGCTAATCGCTATCATTCGATTGCGCACGTCCCAATACTTTTGCTCTGTACGACTCGTCGCCATTGCGTGCCAATTCGGACCGCGGCAAATGTGCACGTGCACTTTAACAAGTACATGTGCACCTTTAATTGCCTCTCATCTGCTTCTTGATTTTTTTTTTTTTTTTTTTGGTAATTCCTTTTCTCCATCTTTGTTTGTCCGCGTGCACACGCGTGCCAGACTGCATAACCCGCGCACGGGTGTTATTTAACAGTTGCTGCGATGATGTCGCGAGGTGGGGGTGGGGGGGAATTAGATCCGTTCAATGATTCAGTCAAGCCTGTGATCACGCCGTATGATCGCTGGGACAAGTGCACTCAACGAGGCGGACGAGGAGAACAGAACATGTAAAGACAGTCTAATGGAGCGTGTCATAAATGACACATGATTGGCATACACTCTGTGCGGGAATAAGATGTGCAGGTGAGGTCTTACCACGGCGGCTGTTGCATGTGTTTTGGCCCTTGATGAGTACATGCAATGATGTACTATAATTAGTCGTACACAAACAGCTGACCATGGTGTATCGCAAAGTTTCAGAAACTTTTTTTTTTTCACTATTCGCACTTCCATGAAAAAAAACAAAACAAAAGGATTTGAATCTTGATCAAATGTTTTGTCATCGCCTACGTAAACTCACGGACTGCCAGCTGTTTTTTTCTAGTGAGTTCCCCATATTGACGGCCTGGTTTAGAGCATTTTGACTGATTTCTGGGACAATATAAGCCGCAAACCTAACAAAAAAAAAAGTAGAGACTCTCTTCTTTCACCAGAAAAGGTTTGTTTTTATCCTCTTTCTGTTCTTTGGTAAGCAGCATGAGAACCCATGTTGGTTTCTGAGCAAAAAGCGGAGAAATCAAGTTTTGTTGACAAAAAACATGTCAAGCAGCACAGTGATTTTGACAGTCATGTTCTTTACTAGGGACGGACAAACTTAATGTGGCCTGTTAATTTAAAAAATCTGCGGGTGCCAAACAGCAAATGCAAGTGTGGAGTATGGTTGTAATTGCACCAATCACCACTAGAAGGCAAAAATGTTTTAGTTACTTTCGGTCTTACAATGCCCTATATTACGTAATAGGCCTAAGATATATATATTTTTTTTTTCGGATTTGGAATGATATGCAGGAAAAACATCAATAACAATAATATTCACATTTTCAGTGAGTTGATATTGGGGAATAAATAAAATAAAAATTCTTGCACTTAATGTTGGGTTCTTGTTCAGCAGTTTTGTACCTTCCTTAAATGTTGATTTCTATGCAAGAGAGCCTTTTGCACTGAAAAAAATATATATACGTAATGTGGATATTTTGTTGTTTGCTAGCTTTGGTTTTTAAATTCCAGCATCTGTCAAAAAATAAAAATGGGCAAAAAAAAAAAAAAGGACACAGGCCTCTTCCTACTGTAAAATATTAATATTCATCCTACACCATTCATTTCACATCAAATACCCATCTTATTCCTGCACTCCACATGTCTAATCCTCTGGTCGCGTCTCCACGTAGAGCCGACGTGATGTCCGAACACATCACAGTGAGCGTGCATCCTCCTTTCTCTTTTCCAGCTTCATCTACTCGTATCCTCAAGGGACCGTTTTAACGCAATATGACTTCTATAGGAGCTTAACGTTCAGGAGTCCACTAAGGCCGCCAAATTGCTTCGAGTCATACATGGAGCACATGGTGACGTGTGTGTCTTTTCTTGTGTGGCAGAAACGAGAAAAAAGGAAACACGAGAAGATTTTGAGCGAGGAGCTCTACCCCGCTGTCATCAACCTCAACCAGTTCTTGCCGCAGCAGCACGGCATTGAGTACATCGCATGGGACATGGCGCGCTACACCAAGAGGTTGCAAGCAGCACCACCACACTCGTTTGAATTTTGCAAATTTCTTTGATTGTTCGGTTTTAGTTAACTTTCACTTTGTTAATGTATTTTTATTTTTTATTTTTTTACATTTTATTATATTTAGCATTATTACTGTTTAATGTTGTTTGTTTTGTTATTTTGTAGTTGATTTTTTTAAATTTGAAGTTTTATTTTTTCTAGTTATTTAAATTTTGATATTTTTTACTTTTTTTTTTACACCTTTATTTTTATTCATGTAATATTTTTTAATTTTAAATATGTTTTCATTCATTTTAGTTTGAATTAATTTATAGCTTTTGTTATTTTTTTCTATTGCTTTTTAATATTCTTTTTATTTTTATTTTTATTCTTTAAAATTCCATAAACATTTTAACATTTACGACCAAAAACATATAGCAGCTCGATCACTTGTTACTAGGCAGGTTTGGTTGGACTCACTCATAACTCGGCATACTCTGCTTTTGGATTGACCAAAACTGTTTTTTTTCCCCCCCATAGTTTGCGTTTTTTTTCCATAGTTGTTTCAAAGTTTAAACATTTCTCTGCATTAGGTATGAATGACATTAAAATAATTTACCCAGGAAATTATTTTTCTATGACCAAAAAAATAAAATGGTTACACTATATTGTATATTACAAGACTTTACATGTTTGCTTCTTGATAAATCTGTATCTTACATTACATTTACAGAATATTTCCCTTTATTCCCCAGTAAACTGTGCAACGTTCTGGACCGTCTGAGTATGATTGCTGAGAATGTGGTGAAGCGTACCGGGTTTTTTGTGAATAGATCAGATTTCTACTGTCACACTCTCCACCCAGATGAAAGGTAAGACTGTTGTTACTTTTTCATATTGTTATATTATTCTGTTTTATTGTGGAAAAAAAACGTACAAACTTAGTCCATAGGCTGCGCAAAACGTAAAACAAGCCTATTGATTGTTTTCACCTTGGAAAAAGGCAAAAAAAGTGCCTTCCAAAATGTTTGGGTTTTTTTTTTGTTTTTTGTTGTTAAGATTATTTTCAGAAGCGAGAGCAAAACTGCATCCAGCTTTCTTCCTCTCGCCTCTATATCCCAACATACGTCAAATAATACATAAATCAGCACTTTTTTTTTCCACCCCTCTCACCACTCTGAATTCTTAATGTAAATTATGTCCCGCGGTGGTTGTGTCGCCGTCAATGTTCCCCGTAACGAGCTGAGTGGATTGCCGCCTGTGTAGCGTACGCGAGTCTCCGCCTTTGTCTGCACGTTAATCACTTGCATTGGGTGTTACATAAAAGCGCAAGCATTTATCAGCCGTGTCCTTCGTCTGGCGCGTCCCCGTTTGACTTTATTTACCTCCTTAAAACATGCGCTTCCCGATTTATACTGATGGGGGCAAAGCATTTGCGCTCAAAGGCCACGTTTGATGTCAAGCAGATTCTTTTGAAATAGTTTTTACACATATTTCTGTGAGCGAATTGGTGATGAAATACATTCAGAAATGAATAAATCTGTTTTAATCAGCTTTTTTCAACTTTGTTCCCTTTTTTTAGCAGTAAAGCATGGGTTGGTTTCACCCAAATCACCTATTTTGTATTAAAAAAAAATGCAGACAACAAGCTGTGAAAAGATATGTTTAACACAACAACAGTGACTTTGATACGAATAATATTGACCTCACTTCCTGTCATTGTTTTTTTCCACAGATGGGGAGACTTGGGTGGAAGCATTTCTGTCAGTGGGCGAGTACAGGTCAGTCTGGTGCATTGTGTTTTTTCCGATATCATAACGTTCTCACAACATTTCAAGAAATCAATCAATCAGACTTGATTTATTTCGCACTTTTCATACAGACAAATGCAAGTGCTGTGCAATTTCAAAAAAAGAGGGCTCCCCATTCCCCCAACATACAGATACATATCCCCATAAGCCACACACACACACACTCACACACACACTCACACACACAGACACACACACACACACACACACACACGAACATACAAAACACGTACACTGATAAACCATATTCAAAAAGACATGGCAAGGGACAGAGAAACCATACGAGGAAAAGAGCACTCAAGGGGAACTCATCCACACTGACAAAAATTACAGCCTCCACAAAAAAAAAAAAAATCTCCTTCATGCTTGTTAGACTTCAAAAGTTACCAACCATAAATCGTTTAGCTTCCTTTTTTTTTCAACTATTGAGACTTTTTGACCCATCAAGGCCACTGTAGATGATGCTAGCATTTGGCATTACAGCCAAAACAAGTCCGAATAGCCGTGTGTCACAACCCACACAATTTTTTTGGGGTGTTTTTGCGCTATCTATATATATATATATATATATATAT